CCCCCCCCCCCCTCCAAAGTAACTAGTTCCATAAAGCTGGTTACAGAACCTTTATATAATAAAATAGATATGTTTCATACGAATGGCCCATTTATGAGAGGCTACCGATGAGCCCAAATATTGGCATATCCCTTCTTGAGCTTTTACATGGGATAAATTCATTAGAAAATGAGACAATGGAATAGTAAACTATGATTTACAACAACTTTGCACATTAAATGCGTCACAAGTCAGAGCTTATCAGGTCCATGCAATTTTTTTTTCCTCAGTGAAATTGTCTGGGCAGTACAGAAGTTATTGACTATTTGGTATACACACAGAACAAGTCAAAATTTAAATGTCTTAGTAAATGAATGTTTTACAAATCCATTGAGGGGCAGAATAAGAAAATTTAACAACGTCCCTGCCTAGAACAGCTCTTTTTTCATTTCCCATTAACCAGCATTGATAACGACCTATTAACTGTAACAATACAGCAACTCCACACTGCAGCATTCCCATAGCACATGTTTCGTATAGAGTTGGAAAAGGTACCTTTACGATAGCAATGGCAAAGGAAGCAGGGATAAAGGAGAAGGCAATATTAACAACAATTGCAGCAGAGAAAGCATCCAGATCCTACAAATGGACATAGTAAAAGTTATGAAGGCAGATAAGGCATTAAATCTCATTGTCGCCCTAATGCAAATACATCACAGTCACAGCATTACATATGTGCCCATTTACATCACCTATAGCAAAACACAATTTTGATTGAAAGCCATGAAACAAATAATAATCGATTTTAGAATCCTTCTGCTGTGCTGACACACGAAACAAGTATGCATATCAAACATCATCATCCAGTTTGACACATTACACAGGCAATATAAAAGTATCCACAACTAAGTTGAAAGTACAGAATGTACAAAGGGCTTCTATCTCACATCGAATTATTAGTCTTAGAGCATCCAACCCCAAACCAATTGGCAATGGGTGGAATAGTTCCTCAAGTATATAAGCTGTTGAAACTTGAATAATTGTATGTTAGGGTTAAGGAAAATAAAGAGAAGAATAAGAAGAGAAGCAAGAGAGTATTAAGAAAGTAAAACATAATAGGAAACCCCATAATAAGAAACTAGAACAATAGGAAAATAATATAATAGGAAAGTAACATTCTCACATTCCCCCTCAAAAATGAAGCATAGAGACCAGGTTGGAATAAAGGTTACTATAGGTCGACTGCACCAATGGTCTGGTCATTGGTGAGAAATTCACCAAGTTGATTGCAATATCTCCCAGTAGACAATAAGGATGATAAAATCATGTTCTAGGTGATTGTTTTAGACCATTCCAAGACTTCTTTAATTGACACATACTACCATGATACTCCCCTCGAATAAAATAAGCACGTAATGACCACACAAAAATAAGCAATAGCAAATGACGATACCGGTATAAACACAACACCACCAACCACAATACCGATACAAATAAACACAACATACAACACCACAATGAGCAACATTCAACAATAAATTAAACAACAACAACTGAAAATAAGGTAATCAAGTAGAACTGAAGCTGAATCAGCCAAAAAGGGACTGAACTAGTGCTGAAAACCACAAAACCAATATAGAATCTTGATGAAAACTCCAAAATTGGCAATGAATCACGTTGAAAACATTGTGCGGGAACTAAACTGGGATGAAAACTACTAAACCACCATCAAGTTGTGTCGAAAACCACTGAACTATCACTAAATTACGTTGAAAACACTGAAAGGAGTTAAATAGGGATGAAAACCACAAACCCAACGCCAAACTATGCCAAAAACCCCTGAAATGGCACTAAACCAGGTTGAAATCGTTGAACCAGAATTAAACCAGGATAAAAACCACTTAATCAAACACAAAACTAGCTCGAAAACCATTGAACCGACACTAAACTAGGCGAAAAACACTAAACCGTAATTGAACCGGGATAAAAACACTGAACTAGTACCAAACTAATCCGAAAACCACCGATCTAACACTAAATATTGGCTAAAAACCCTGAACCATACATGAACCCGATAAAAACCACTAAAGCAGCACCGAACTAGGTGGAATATCCCTAAACAAACACTAAATCAGCTTGAAAACACTAAAATCCGCACCAATGTTTAGACACCGGTGACACGAATACGGATTCAGGAACCTCACAACAACTAATTATGAATAGCAAAGGAAGATACCGACGACAGGAAAATTACATCTTAAGAGTGATTCCGGCAACAACAACTGGCAAACATGCATATGACTACAATTTAGTGTTGGAACGACACTACCACTAGGCGAGCGAGGGACTCACCTAGGGATAGGCTACACTCAAGCAAGTTTATTGCTTTGATACCAAGTTAACACTAGAATAATGTATGCTAGGGTTAAGAAAATGAATGAAAAGAATAAGGGAAGAAAGAGAGTATGAAACAATATTGTGCGTAAGATGCGCGTTGCCGACACTCTTATCACCTATTTAATATTGATCACCACTACAATATTAGGAAAGTAGAATATAATAAGAAAATCACATAATGGAAAAGTAGAACAATAGAAAAATAACATAATAGAAAAATAACATTCTAACATAAACTAACCTTGGTGATCATAATTATTCGATATGAGATCTAAGTTCTTTTAACACCCTCCCTCACATGGGACCCGAGCTCGCATGTGGGGTCAACAAACAAACAACAATGCATACCGAGATATTCAAATAGATAAGAAACGTGACCCACTAATAAACCCAGCTTTGACACCACATTAGAGCATCCGACCCAAAATTAATTGGCAATGAATGGAGTAGCCCTTCAAGTATATAAATCAACATCGGTGATCCTAATTACTCAATGTGGTAAGCTCTCTTAACGATTAAGACCATCCAAGGTGGGTTTATATGGTTATGGGATCTCTTCGCTCATCACAAATTAGTGTTGAGTTTGATACCCTAGCATGGTATCAAAGTTAGGCATTGAATGATCAGTGGATCAAGCCTCTTACCCACACAAGAGAGGATGTAAAGTTTCTATATCACAACAAATAATTAGGACCACCAAAGGTTAGTTTATATAGTTAAGCTCCAATTCGTTGCCAATTGAGTTTGAATTAGATGTTATAACAAGTAGAATCTTTAAACTACATGATTTCTGAATGGGAACATGAATCTTGGTGTCAGCAAAGATTCCTAACACAGACAAGTTGGTTTAAGAACACCAAAAGGCATCATTTGCACTCTTACCGAGGCCTAAATTGGAAAAACGGACCTAAAGAATAAAATAAACATAGTATCTAAACACAGCTTCTTCTGGAAAAATGAAATGACAAAAAAAAAATATAATATTACATAAAATAAAAAAGGAATCATCTGTAACATAGCTGGGAACCATGAAGTTTGACTTTTAATCATGATAAATAAAGGACAGAAAAGCATACATGACGTTGCAACCGCTGGCTTTCAGTCATGGGCAGAGGGTGATTCCGTGTCCGAATCGTCATGTTTCCATTAAGAGTAGCAAGCCTAAGAACTGCCGAGTTCATTAAATTGATGAATGTTGGAGCAGCATGTTGACAAGAACTATTGTGTAGAATTGTGTACCCTAGACTTCCATCATCATTCAAACCATCCATTATGACTGCTCCATACCTGCAAATGCACATGCACAAAATGGAACAAAGATTAATATGGAAAACATCTTCTCAGAAAAAGCAGAACCCAAACAGCAACAATTATTTGCATGCGGTCAAGTTTCAAGTTTCCAATTACCCTCTTCTTATTCTTTCCACGATTTCTGATGAACTGCAATTTATTTTGAGAAGCAACCGATAACAAACAGAAAAAAGGACTGCTTAAAACGGAGAAACGTACACTATTAAAACGAAGAGATAGAGGGAGAGAGACAATAGTCATTTCTTAAAATCTAGGCAAAAAAAATCATATTTGGCCACCAAGGTTTGCACTCAATTTCATGTAATCCCTTAATCTTTATTTTGTCTCAATTAAGCCCTCCAACAATATAGAAGTTCCAATGTACGTCTTTCGTCCAACTACAGCAAGAACTAGCAGAAATCCTCACGTAACTAGATCTGTGGTAGTATCGAGGGCAACATAACGGGCTAAATATTATATGTCGTTCTTATACTTTGGAATAACTTTCAACAAAGCCTTAAACATTTATTTTGTCTACATTAAGATGCCTAACTATTTAAAAGAAGTTCCAATGTAAACAGAAAAACGTAAATTTGCATCTCATATTACTCGATAGGAGCATGCAATGGAAAACCAGTAAAAAAGAGTGCCAAGAAACCCCTCAAGGGACTCCCATGCTTGGCACATGAGATGAAATCAACCATTGCCTGTCATAATCATGCCATTCATTCTCTGCGTTTACATCCAAATAGAGGATGACAAGACACACCTAAGAGAGAGGAAAGATGGAGAAAGAGCAACCAATATTTTGAGATTGTGGGAAAATGGATAAGAATATCCTCCTCAGATCAAAACCATGGGAGGTTTCTAAATTTCAGATTGCATTGCAAGGCCATTCTGACAATTTAGAAACCTCCTCCCGGGGTTCTGATCCATCTAGGGTTTTGATCCATCAAGATGTTTTAATCATTGCCTTTTTCCCACAATCACAAGTGATGACTTGCTCTTTCCTCCCTTTTCCCTCTCTCTCCCAGGTGTCTCAGTTATGTTTTTTGTCTGATGATAAGAGCATGACTCGCCTGGTTATTAAAGGCAATGGTTGGTTTCAATTTACATGCTTCACATGTTAGTTTTTGGAGGGAATTTTTGGCACCCTTTTTGCTGGTATTTAATTACATGGCCCTGAAAATGCACATGAGATTCACATTTGTATTTATCTATCAGGGGGTTTTTTACATAATAGGATGAAAGGAGTGCATTGGAACTTCTAGAATAGTTGGAGGCCTTAATTGAGACAAAATAAAGAATAAGTGCTTAATTGATATTGAATTCAAAGTTTAGAGGCCAAATACAATTTTACACGTTGTGTATTGTTGTAAATAGTGCCACTTCCCAAATCAAGTGAGACATGCGTGCATTTTTATGTTGAGGTTTTTGATGTAATTGGACAAAAAAGATACATTGGAACTTTTAAGTAGAATGAGGCTTAACTGAAAATTGGTGCAAAGTTTAGGGGCCAAATAAGATTTTTACCCCAAAGGAAAACCAATCTCCAACAGAAGAATAATATAAACAAGAGCATGCTCCAACAGTGGAAGCATAAGTTATACATCTCATTACTAAATATATTGTGACAGCCTATTGTCTGAAAGAGATTAAAAAAGCAACTCCAATTATTATCACTTTTTTTTTTGTTGGACATCAATTTTTAATCATTTTCATAAACTGAATACAGGCATACCACTAAAAGAAATAGCATGGGATTTAGAAGATGAAACAAATGTACTGTGGAATAAGATGGTTAAGTGTATTAAAAAAAGCATCTATTGAGGTTCTTGGAGAATCAAGGGGTAATGGACCATTAGCAAGAGAAACTTGGAGGTGGAATAATGAGGGCCAACATGAAGTAAAAGCAAAAAAAGAGTGCTATAAAACATGGACAAAAACTAAAAACAAAAAGAACTTTAAACGTTACAAGCTTGCAAATAAAGAAGTGAAAAATAGAGTAAGAGAAGCCAAGTACAAAGCATATGATGATCTTCACCCTAAACTAGATACAAAGGATGGAGAAAAAAGTATAGCTAAACTAAGGGGAAAAAAACAGAAGATGTGAATCATATTAAATGCATATAGAGTGAAAACTCTATGGTCCTAGTACAAAACGACAAAATTAAAGAAAGGTGGAAGAATTACTTTGAAAAGTTATTAAATAAAAATCATATAAGAATCTTGGGCATTGAGGAATATAGAAATTAATGGGAGACTAGAGAAAATACATTTTTTTTAATATAGAATTAGGATGTGGGAGGTTAGAGGCATTAAACAAAATGAAGAAAAGAAAAGCTTTAGGACTGGATGATATACCTATTGAGGTTTAGAAGTGCCTAGGGGACATTGGGATATCATGGCCTACTAAACTATTCAATAAAATTATAACGCTTAAGAAAATGCCCAATGAGTTGAGGAAGAGTATGTTAGTACCTACATATAAGAATAAGGGAAACATATAAAGTTGCACAAACTATATGGGTATTAAACTAATGAGTCATACCATGAAACTTTGGGAGAGAGTAATTAAGCAAAAACTAAGGTTTGAAATAACGGTATCTAAGAGTCAATTTGGATTCATACCCCGGAGATCAACTATAGAAGCTATATACTTACTTCGGAGACTAATGAAGAGGTACAAAGAGAAAAATAAGGATCTTTATATTGTTTTATAGACTTACGGAAGACATATGATTGCATCGCTAGAGATATTTTATGCAAGGGTCTAGAGAAGAAAAAAGTTATTATTAAGTACATTGATGTGATTAAAGATACGTATGAAAATGTGGTGACCTTGATGAAAACAACAGCTAGGGACACTAAAGAATTTTCGATAACTATAGGCTTACATCAGGGTTCTTCTTTGAGTTCATATCTTTTTTGCATTGATTATGGATGAATTGACTAGATATATTCAGGATCAGCTTCTGTGGTGTATATTATTTGCGGATGATATTATATTAGTTCATGAAAGTAAAGAAAGAATTAATAACAAACTAGAAATATGGCGACAAACTTTAGAATCAAAAGGATTTAGGATAAGTAGGACTAAGTCTAAATATATGTAGTGTAACTTTACTAAAAGGAGGAATTCAAATCACGAAGTAGTAAAAATTGAAGATTAAGAGGTACCAAAGAGCGAACATTTTAAGTATTTCATACAAAGTTTGAGATTGATGAAAATGTTACTCATAGAATCAATGTGGGATAGACTAAATGGAGGAATGTATCCGGGGTACTTTGTGATAGACACATACCACTTAAGCTAAAAGGAAATTTCTTTACAACGGCCAGAAGACCCTCTATATTTTATGCTACAGAATATTGGCCAACTAAGAACAAAATGAGTGTAACAAAATTAGAACATTAAGATGGACGTGTGATAAAACTAGGAAAATAGAATTAAGAAATATATTTTTTCATGAAAAATTAGAAGCAGCCCCTGCAGAGGATACATTAAGGAAGAATCGATTTTGGCAGTTTGGACTTTGGACATATCTATAGACGGCCTACTACCGCGCCAGTGAGACAAAGTGAAATAGTATAGAAAGACATCATAACCTATATTTGACATGATAACCTATGTTTTAATAGAAAGCAGGACCCATGATCGAGCAAAATGGAGAAAGATAATTCATGTAGTCGACCCCAAAAATACTGGGGCAAGACTTTGTTGAGTTGAGTTGAATTGACAATATAAGCATATCACTGACACGATGACATTGTACCTCAGAATTTGCTCTCCAATACTTTCTACATATATAAATTGTATTAGCTTGTTGACAAATAATAACATTTTTTATACAAATAAAAAATATTGATCGTCCAATCCTGAATTAGTAACGTCACTCTCACCATTGCATAGCCAACGCATTGAAGAAAATACAATCAAATATAAGAGCTCCATGTACCAGCTGAAGCAAACTATAACTAAGCTTAGTAAGAATTCAGAATAAGAATCTACTACCAGGAAAAAAAAACAATGGAGTGAGTGCCACAAAATTGCACATGATTGAAAAGTATGATGGAATCACTTATAAATGATTAAGATTCATTGTAAAGAACAGAATGAGGTAGTTCAATCACACTGAAAAATAAGCCAACACAGATAAAGGGAAAAGAAAAAGAGAAAAAAAAACAGGACAAAGAACTTCATGAGAACACACCTAGACTGATACGATTCATTAAAGCTAGACATCAGATATTCACTCATGGAAAGTAGAACAGGCCCCAGATTTGGCCCAGCTGCCTCAATAGCATCAGCTAACGCCTTCGCTGAATTAGGGAATCTATAACTGCTCTGTCTAAACCTTTGAATCCAGCCACCTTTTATATAGCTTGCAAACTGCAGTACTAATAGATATGAAGTTAGTTAGTGTCAACTACAGATATTCTGATAATCTTAACATTCAATAACAGAGGCAACATTTAATGAATAAGGTTACAGTAAAGAAATTAAGAGGAACTCACAAACCTCCTGTGAGATAGGCTGGGATAGGTCAAAGGGAATTGGACCACCACCACCACCACCACTCAGCAGAGGATTAAAATAAGAAGTTGAGAAGGTCACAGAAACTTGATCAGGATGCGGCTTAAGCTCGAGAAAGAGAAGACCGAAAAGCAAGAAGATGGCAGGAATTAACAGCTGGAAAACCATAGTTTTCCGATCTCTCCGAGCAGATATTGCCCGCTTTATAAGCAAAGCTTTACAATGTTGCCAAAATGTTGTCCTCGGAAGTAAGCAACAGCTGAAGCATTGCAATGTTAAGAAGTTTATAATTCTAAGGATGGTATCCAAGAAAATACCGAATGCTCTCCCCACAATGGTAAATATCAGCCCGATGACCTTCATATTACTTCCCCATAGTTTGGAATGGAAATATTTTTTTGGAGCATTAGTAGGACAGGCTTGAAGAACGGCAGGATCTGGTAAAACTGAAGTTTTTCCCTCCTCAACACATTCAGCTTCATTAATATCACATCCTGCAACTCTCAGGAATACCTCCTCTAGGGTTGTGACAGAGATACCATAACTCTCAATACCAGGAAACTGTCTGTCCTTACAATCAGCACTTCCAAAGTTAGGACCTGATCGTCTCATGCAGCTCTCAATTTCCCTAAACATGCTTTCAAATGAACATGAGGATGCTAGAGGAAGCTTAAAGGAGATCTCAGTTCCAACCTGTAGAGGTATATTGAATTTCAAATAGTTATATAAGCAGAATGCCAGATTAGCATTTGTAACATTCAGGAATATACATTATCAGACAGACAGTTACTGAAAAACAAATCAGAATTAGTAACATCCAGTATCACATAATCATAGGAACATGGTCATTAATCAATCAAAAAAAAAGACATTTCATGCCGTACAAAAAATCCATAAGAGAACTTTTACATCAAATATAGGCAGTTTAGCACATAGAGTCATAGACACTGCAGTACGTATAAAATCATCTATCACATTAATGAAATAATCATTCAGCATAGAAGGGTAGAGGAATACTTCGCTCACGCATATTGCCGATGGAACGTGGCGGTAAACAATATCAGAGACCACCGAGGCACCAGAATCATTCTGTTAATCCATAATCACATCAACTGTCTTAAAAGCATGAAAGCAAGAACAATAAAGATGACTAAGAGCAAAGTGAACAGGGATGATTATGCACCTTCACCAGAGTGAGAGTATATCCAACACCATATTGGTGCTTCAAGAAAAGGGAGCTGTTGAAAATGCAGACTCCATTAAGAAAATGAGAGAAGACATAAAATAACAACACGATAACAATTACAAACCCCAAAAAATCCAAAAAGTAAAATTTGTTTCTCACTGTCTTGCAACCCACAGGTGCCAAATGGGATCAGGGTGCAGGGGGATGTTTTCTTTGCATGTATAACCTCAAAAAACAAATACATGAAAAGGCATGGATTTGCCTCTTGCTTTTAAGACCATTATTTTTGTGCAATACCTATATTAGAAAACAGGACTGATTTTGAATCCTTAAGTTAGCCCTACCACAAGAGTGATTGAGATTCATTCAATCCAATGGCTCAAAACATCCCCAAAAAATTTCCCCCACAAACTGAAACCCCCCTCAGCCCATGCCTCTTCACGCTAGTCAAGGCCAAATTCTCCCAAAGTCGGAAATTCCATCCACCCCATACTTTTTAAATGGTGGGATAAGATAGATTTGAATTGTGTAATTATAGAAAAGAAAGAAAAATACATTGTTATTTTATATATTTATACTACACGACTGATGTTCAATGTATTTGTATTACCCAGTGCCTTTAGGCACAGGTTATTGCTAGTACACCAATAAAACACATTTATTCTTCAATTTTTCAAGCAAAATGGAATATTGTGCCTGAATATTTAAAAAAGAACACAAGAAAAACCTTCCGCAGCATTTTAAGGAACCATTAGCCATGATAGCTATCCGATCTCCTAGTACATCAGCTTCATCCATGGAATGTGTAGTTAACAATATTATCCTGCCTTTCTTTAGTCTTTTGATCAATTGCCAAGTCAACCGCATTGAATATGGATCCATTCCACTTGTAGGTTCATCAAGAACAATAACCTGTTTGATAAAAGAGAAACAATTTTAGCAAATTCCAACAAACAGAAATAACAGAACAATTTCCTGACAGTTGTGTTCACCTTGCTATTTCCTATCAGTGCAATTCCAAGGGACAACTTCCTCTTCATGCCTCCAGAAAGATCCCTCACCAAAGTGTTTAGTTTATCTGCCAATCCGACCTAACAAAATATTATCTTTATAAGTCCTCCACAAGAAATTAGTATGAACACTAGGAAAATAAAGGTAGATGTGCCAAGCTAAGCAAGAGAAGAAGCACATGAAAGGAATGCAAGATATATTACCAAGGAAAGATGAAAGAAAAGGAAAACTCAATTGAACGTTCCACAGCAGATTGATCACATAAACCAAACATAAATGGAAAGCGCATTCACTCCAACTAAATCGCTGAAATGTTCAAAGAGGGTCCAAATATTGCAGTTTGACTAGATAGCTATACTCCTTTCTTGCTATTCATATCAAAACAAAGTGAAAATTAAAACCTAGAAAATTGATAGTGGTACTACGACAAAAGGTTCTTATGTCAACCACAGAACCCTAACATTGAGTTGGAGATTAGATTTTTTGGCTGAGACAGGCAAGTACAGCATTCAGTGAACCAGAACATGGGTTCCCTTCACAAATGGTCAAGAGCGTCTCTTTATGGTTATTTTTAGAGGTGGCAAATGAGTGGGTTGAGTTGCTTATGGGTTGGTTCAAAATGAGTTAAGTGCAAAACAAATCCAATCCGTTTTCAACCAGAATAAAGCACACGCTAATACACCAAAACAAACACACACTAATACACCGAGACCATGGTCATCTCGGGTCGGGGTCTGGGGTCGAGTTAGGGGTCTAGAGTCAAGTCCGGGGTCGGGTGTACTAGTGTGTGTGTGTGTGTATTGTGTGTATTTGCAATTTTTGGGTGTATTAGTGTGTGTATGTATTTTGGTGTATTAGTGTATGTGTGTATTTTTTGGTTTATTAGTGTGTGTATTTTTTGGTATATTAGTTTGTGTATTTAATTTTATTGCTTGTTACTTAATACAAAGATAAATACTCAATCCAATAAGTACCCATTTGTAATCCATCTTAACCCGCTTAATTAAAATGAGTCCTATTACCCAACCCATTAAAAACCTACATTAATTAATATAAGTACCCAACCCATTCTGGCAACTCAATTTTCTAAAAGGCCCTGCACTATGGATTAGTAGTTGGCAAGCAGCCCAAGAGCTCCTAGTTTAGGGGTCCAGGGGCTAAAATGTTAACTTAGTATTCCACGGGTAGACAAAGGTTAGACCTTGGATTACTCTTGTCCAAACTTGAAAACTAACATTCCTGCCCAATTTCTATGTATTTAGAATGATGGGAAGAGTGGCTTCTAATATCAAGAAATACTACATGGAGTTCTTGTGGTCAAATACTGGGAAAGTCTACGGCCATACCATTTCTTGAGATAGGACTTGGGCAAAGATTCAAGGAAAAGAAGATATGTAGACTAGGTAATATACAGAGACTCAGTGTACTCATGGAAAGCCACAGAATAAGAGAACCCAAGTTTGCTCAGAGTGCATCCAGAAAATATAAGCAAATATAAAAATCAAATGATAAGGAGCCTATATCACTAGCAACTAGCAATGACTTCTGGTAATACCTATGTTAAGAGTGAACTTCTCGTAAATTTTGTCAAGGAAAAACCTATGATCACATATAATGAGCAACTTCAAAAATTGTTTCAGTATTTTGTTTCGGTCACTTAGGAAATGGAAAAAACATTCCAAAAATATTTCGAAAACAAAAAAAAAAAAAACAAAAAAAAAAAATTTGAAAATTTATTTTCTGAAACATTCAACGATTTATTCTGAAACATATCAAACCACCTTGTAACATTACAAAAAAAAAAAGTCAAAACACCACAAAACATAGAAATTTCGATTGCAATCACTTATTTATTTTAGTTTTCAAGAAAACAGAAATGTTTCACCCATTTTGACCATTTTAAAACGAGATTTATATCCGTTGTCGGACCCAAAATATTAGAATAAGTGTAACACCCTTGGCCTAAAGAAAATGGTAATTTAGTCATTTCCATACGTAAAATATCAATTAAACAAAATGCTAATTTCTTTGTTGGGGTGAAAGTAATAACAATTATAATTATTGAGGCTAACCAATAAATAAGAATTAGAAAATTTAGAATCATATTAAAGTTTTGAAATTTAGAGATACTAGCAATAACCCCGTGTCTGAAGACACTCTGCAATGCTAAAAATCAAACAATGGACATGTAATATTTATATTTTAAATAGCAATTTATTTTTCTTTTCTTTTCTTTAATTACTCAATTTTGAATTAAAATGAACACAGAGAAAATAAAAGAGAGTTAGGTGTGAGATTAATGAGATTATTTAGCATTGGAAAGTGTTTTGATTGGTTTGTTTACCATTGAAGGATGTGCAGAGACGCTAATGTTTGTTTTGGAGCAAGATAAAAAATTTAAGATGAATTTTATACTATTGAATTAATGTAGATGAAAAATGAATTAATCTTAACCGTTGTTGCGTTTTTATAAATTGAAAATTCAATTTCCTAGCTATAATATTAGATAGATGCCGAAATATTTAACAAAAGTAACCATGCATAAAATAGGGGACGTGTCCAAATGCATATGTTGTGTGTGCAAGGTACAACAAATAGAATTAAAAAGAAAAAAAGGAATGGCTACTATCCATTTGGTAGCTGTGTGTCACATGGAACACATTAGGGACAAAATAAAAGTCTTCAATAAGAGGACGTTTGCTCATTTAAAAGTAATAGGGAACACCGATGAAATGGAGAAGGAAATGAGAGGAGAATGAAAAAGGAAAAAATGGGAGAATAAAAGAGAAGGAAAATGTTATTTGGACCTAAAAATCTGACATAATTTTCTGACCTAATGACGTGGCTTTATTGGAACCATTGGATAAACACCAAGTTCCAATGTTTGATGGAGCCTACAATCAATCCAAAGGTCATAGTGAATTAGGTCAGCAAATTAGGTCTCAATAGCATTGCTCAAAAGGAAAGCCATTTTCTACCAAGGCGAGTTTACTTTCTACACTACATACAAAGTATACACACACACACACAATATATATATATATATATGTATATGTATATATATACACACATACCCACAGCCAAAAGTACAAAATTATCCATTTTTATTTTGGGTTTTACTCTCACAAACATAACACTTGGGTGTTGTTCTAGGTATAATGGAACCTTTAATTTGGTATGTGGTTTGTTGAGATCTATAAAACATAGACACTTTATCCGTATTCATAATTAAATGAAATTTTTTTAATTTCTAACACATATTCAATAATTCTTTGGTGATGTGTCCAACACTTCTTTAGAACGTGTCTACTACTAAATAATCAACATGTGTTAAAATGTGATTAAAAAAATTTAAAATTTTGAGAACATATAATTCCTAATACTAGACATGTTAAAATTATACTCCAAATATAATAATAAAAACAAAAGATGTATTAAAATTTTAAAAGAAAAAAAAGATGAATTGAGAAATTGAGAGCAATTATTTAAATTATAAATTACATACACATTGTCTACAAAAGAAAAATGATGATTATTTACTATGATGATAATGCTTTAGTCTAAAAATTCACACAAATAACTACACATAAAATTTATTTATCATAAAATAATGCATTTTCTATGAATTGCATATCATTATTACTATATTTGCGATAAATTATATAATATTATATATAAAATATAATTTTTTGTAGCATATCCCTAACGTGTCTATGTCCTACTTTTTTTATAAATGTCTGTGTCCTACTTTTTTTAAAAATGTTTTGTGTCTGTGTACTTACTTCTTAGGCTGAGATTTGGTAGCAGAGAATGTAAAAAAAAAAAATTTAGAGGTTTATAGTTTTCGAATAACCCACATAAGATTGTTAACTTATGGACATAGATAATGATACTTGAGCCCACAAACATATTTTTCCTAGGAAGTACGGATACGGATACGGATACGGATGTCGTATCCGATACGATACAGACACGGGGATATGACAAAGTTAAAAAATATGGGATACGGATACAATAAGGATACGGCAATTAAAATAATATAATATATTTTTTAAATAATAATAGAGTTGTAATATATTAAAAATAAAGCATATATTATAACAATATTAATAATAAGACCTAACAAATATTATTTTTTTGATTAAAGTTGAAATAGATCAAATTAAATATTCACTATTTTCATTAAACATCATTGCATCTATTAATATTCATAGTATATAAATTACGTAACAAAAAATATATTAAAAAAAGTAAATTTTGAATAGTTAAAATTTGTTTTTTTAATAAAAAAATTATTGGTCATATCCTAAACATATCCTTGTCGTGTCCTAGACATATCCTTGTCGTATCCGACTAAATTCACTATTCAGGACACTTCTAGCCGTGTCGGCCATGTGTTCGGCCGTATCCGTGTCGGACACGTATCCGATATCGCCACGGCAACCCAGTGAGAAGTATTTGTGCTTCCTAGTATTTTCCATAAGATTTATTTTAGCTCTAAAGTATTAAAATTATATCTCAACCCCTTGCAGTTTTAAAACGTTATATTTCAAACCCCACATTTTCCACCAAAGGTTTAAACACTAAATTTTAGCCCCTTCAATTTTTAAATACTACTAAATCACCCCCAAGCAATTTTCAAAATTTTAAATTATACTGCTAGCTTTGTTTTAAGAATTACAAAACAACCCATTTACTTCTTAAAAATTATGAAAATACCTCCAATAAAGTTTAACATTGTGCAATTATTAGCTTGACCTAGTTTTTAAAATCACAAAACCTTTAAGTTTTGAAGATTATAAAACTACACTAAAAAAATTTAATATCTTTCAACTATACCCCAAAAAAAGTTTTAGAAATTAAAGATCAACCCCTAAAGCTTTAGAAATCATGAAAGTTCCATTCAACCTCTAAAGTTTCTAGAAATTACACCAAGACCCCCATAAAATTTAAATACTTTTCAGATGGGACCATCTTTAATTATTTCAACACTTGCGTAAGAATAATAAGTCCCATTAGAATAAAAAGTACAATATACTAATATGATATCGACCTTTATTTATTGTGTACCCCTATATTCTTCAAGAAATTAATATGTACACCGATTATCAGTAAAAAGGGATTAGAGTTTCACAGTTGAAGTTTAGTTATGTTTTGTTCAATTAGAGAAGTTTGATTTTATAAAATTACCAAAGTACCATTACAATGAAAAAATTGAAATAAATCACAATTCATGAATTTTCATGCATCCCATGCATATCATGTACATCTTGACCCACATATACTTCCACTAGGAAGAGCTCTAGAGTTTGATGCCAATTAGGTAATGTATCTGGTCAGTAGGTAAGTAGATAATAATATGAGAGCAATTTTACCAAAAGGTGGGTTATGAAATTCTGAGATTTTTTAAGAATGAAAGATTTGATGAACTTAAAATTGTTTGCAACTGAATTATGCTATGTGAGGATCATGTTAGAGAAATGTCTTCTACGATATGATGAATCTCTATTTTAGAAATTGAGAAACTTATCAATGAGGATCGGGTTGGAATACGATAAATGACGATGATTTATTTTGAGATTTTTATTTATTTAGATATTATTCTGTTTTTATCTTTTAGTAGTAGAGTTTGATTAAAAATATTTGATTTTAAGGTTTTTGAGTTCCCTATATAAAGTGTTGATTCTATAATTTTTAGGTGGACTTGAGTTATTGAATAATATACAAAAAAATTTCTCCCTAATTTCTGTTTCTCATCCCCTTCTTTTCTCATCTCATTCTTTTGATTTCTCATCCCCTTCTTCCCATCTCACCTCCTTTCTTCTTCTATTTTCATCCACATATATCTTTTCCTTGATCTATATTAAATATCAGAACTACTACAAGCTACATCATTTATACTTTGAACTGTATTGCGATGATTTCATGAAATTCAGTAATATGTTTTACAAAGTGATCCTTGTATTGTAGCCGCCATGTATGCATGTATGATTATGAGGTCTTTAGGACCGCACGTTATATACATGTTATGTTATGGTTCTGCATGCATCTAACCATCTTTGTTCTTCATTTGTATAGCAAGGATACAATATATTACAATACGGGTGACATTGCTTGAATCTATGATTTTAAAATCCATTGTTTTCTATGAATGACATTTTTATGTTGTCTGTTATTTCTAACTTAAGGGAATTTTAGTATTTTGTGAATATATATATATATATAAGTTGGGTGTGGTTATGTAACCTAATACACTTCCATCTTCTCATATTCTTATTCTCTCTCTTCTTTAAATCCTAAAGGCTTGATAATTTAACTTGGTATCAAAACTTGGATTAAATCTAATGCCTCAAATTTGTTGGAATAGATAGAAAATCACCTCATGCAACCAACAGTGCCACCTGTCAAACGTTGACATGCTGACGTCAGCATGATTTTCACAATGATGGATCGACCCCAACTACGATTTTATGGTTATTTTTTTGAAATTTTTTAAGCCATCTGACTGACTGGTCTTTAAATTTTTCGATTTTTTTGAGATTATGGCCCTAAATCAAAATTTGTCGATTTATGGGCAGTCTAAGTGCTCTTTTGGGTTAGATCTGTTCGACTAGGGTCAATTAGGGCTAATTTGGATTGCCCGGAGCTTTTTGTTGCATTTGAAGTGGATTTATCTGGGAGACTTGATGCACCTCTACCCAGGCCTACATTTTGGCCCTAACAATGTGCGGCATCTAATCAGCTGTCGGTTTAAATTCTAGACACCGTACAGAGATTGTTCGACTCCTATTTTGCTTCGGATTGTTACACAAGATATTGTTTGGTTGCTATTGAAGTTGTTTTCTGGTTGTGGACTATTTTTCGGGTAGTGATTTCTAGTGATTGTTTGTTATTTTGTGTTGGTCCTATTGCGTAAACATGTCAAAAGGTTGCACAACATCCACTAATGTTGGGGTAAATATTGGAAGAAGCAAGTTGAGCCATTCAGATGCTCTAGCAAACAACCTCTCTCTCCAAATTATCATACTCAACAGTAAGACCAGATTAATAAGGTCTATACTCCTACTCATGAACAGTCTACGTTGGTTATCCCACGGCGTGAAATGAGTTTAGCCTTGCCCAACTCTACTGAAATGAGTGGCATTGTTGCAAAGGATACCTTAAAATGTGACTATAGTGGTAAGACCAAGCATACTATGGATTTTTGTTGAAAGTTGACCGGAAATCATACTCGCGGCCAAGGGGATAATGTGCGATCTCATGCACACATGACTAAAAGTTCAAAGACTCCATCTTAGTCTACTTTCTCTCAATATGAGATGCAGACTCTTAGGCGTCTGATGGCTCAACTTGATATCCCCTCTACTTCAACTCCTAATCATGTCTCTTCTTCCAACTTTGTTCATCCGAGTGCATCTACTAGTGTTTATTGTGTCATCCTCATACACACCTTGGATAATAGATTCCAAAGCCACGGATCACATGATACAATATTCTATTTTTTCCTCTTCATATTCTACATGTTTCAATTAATTGCTCACCCTCTTTATCCCTCTCCTTTGTTCTTCACGTTGACAATTTCTATACTAATTTATTATCTGGTAGTAGTATTACAAAATTCTTGAATCGTTCAATGACTCTTTTCCCTACTCATTGTAACTTTCAGGAATTGACAATTAGGAGTGGTGGAGCACATGGTGATATGTATCTCCTTGATGTTGAAGTTTCTCAAAAGTCTACATGTCAAACTCTTCAAACAGATGGTGTTTCAACCCTTCAACTCCTCAACCAGTGGCATAGACGGTTGGGCATCCCTCATTCGATGTCTTGGAGCATCATATTCCTAGTACAGTGAAACAATGTAGTACACAATTTTTTTGTTTGTGATTCTTATGAATTTGTCATGCAGAAACATTCATCTTATCCTCGTACTAATAATAGAAACACTGCTCCTTTTGTCCTTATTCATTGTGATGTGTGAGGCCCTTCTCGTGTAATGTTAATTTATGGTTATTGTTGGTTTGTTAACTTTATTGATTGTTATTTTCATCTCACTTGGGTTTACCTACTATCCAGTAAAGATTAAGTATTCTCGTGCTTTAGATCTTTTCATAAAATGGTGAATACCCAATTTGATGTTAAAGTCAAAATTCTTTGAAGTAATAACAGAACCGAGTATATTGATGAGAAATTTCGTTCTTACCTCGATGAGAATAGCATTCCTTATCAAACCACTTGTGTTAGAACCCCTAAACAAAATGGTGTTGCTAAGTGAAAAAATCAGCATCTTCTTGAGATTGGTCTTTCACAAATATTTATTATAAACTTTCCTCAATCTTTTAGGGGATGCAGTTCTCAATGTTGCTTATCTTATTAATCATCCACCTTCCAGTGTTCTTCAGTTCAAGTCACCTATTGACTGTCTTTTTGAGCCTTTTTCAATTCTTTCTCTTTCTTCTCTTCCACCTAAAGTCTTTGGGTGTGTTTGTTTGATATATGACTATAGATCCTCTAGGTAGAAACTTGACCATAGGGGTCTACGATGTGTCTTTGTTGGTTATTGTCACCCAAAAGGGATATAAATGCTATTATCTTCAAACATGGCAACAGAGGATTTCGAGTTCTGCCATACTAGGAACCCCCAGATGTGAACCAGAGTCGGAAGGTGGCCCCAGTATGCAACAGACAAAAGATGCTTGCACAGTTATGTTAGCCTCGATGTTACTTTTCGTGAAATTGAGTCATTCTTCTTTACTATCCAGACATCTCTTCAAGGGAGAACGTCACCATAAAGGAAGAGATGTTTTGTCAAGAACCTTAGCCTGGAGCATCTTAGATAACAAAAGGGATGGTGTGCAAATTGAAGAAGTCTCTTTATAGGTTGAAACAATCTCCTAGAACTTGGTTTGATAAGTTTCTTAAAATCATGTTGAAATTTAGATATAAACAGAGTCATGCTCATCATACTATGCCTGTCAGATAAGTTGATGACAAGATTATGGTCCTCATTACGTATGTCGATGACACAGTGATAAAATAAGTAAGAAGTCACCAAATTGAAGGCTCAATTGGCTAAAGAGTTTGAAATCAAAGACTTGAATCCATTAAGGTACTTCCTTGAGATAAAAGTTGCTAGATCCGATAGAGGTATTTTCAGCTCCCATAGAAAGTATATTCTTGATCTACTTGAAGAGACACGGATGTTGAGATGTAGACCTATAGATTCTCCTATTGAAGTCAACCAACGACTAAGTGGTTGTGGTTGTGACTTGTGAGGTAGTAGAAATATTTGCTTATAGAGTAGGTGTTGTTATTCAAATCATGCAAGATCATCAAACTTCTCATCTTTAAGTTATTTATCACATTTCGAGGTATCTTAAATCAACTCTAGGAAAAAGGATTTTGTTCCCTAATAATGGCCACTTGAAGCATTTAATCATGCAAACCGGGCAGATTCAGTAGATGATACACGATCTACTTCAGATTATTGCATCTAATTGAAGGAAAACTTATGTTCAGGCATACATAACAAGAATAACATTACCATATCAACTGCAACTGCCACCAACCATTGTTTCAGACACGCAAGTCAAAATCCAGAAAGCATGATAGCATATGCCTGTGAGATTCTTACAGACAAAGACATGAAAACTTACTTCATCAACCATTTCAGTCACATTGCTCTCCAGAGAGTCTTCATCCACACCCTTCAAATTAGCAAATATCACCATGTGCTCCTTTACCTGAATGGAGTAACTAACCAAGTCAAATGACGATACCATAGGAGACATCATCAACCACTACATACAGTTTGCAGTTGCACCAAAAGAATTAGAAGCAGTAAAATCTACAAAAATAAATTTCAACTGGTAAACAAGGGAAAAAATGGAATAAGCATAAGAAAAAAAAACGATGTATGTATAAAAAAAACACATAGAATGAGAATCTCGTTCTCCAACATGCACCAAAAATCTCCGAACAATTTTATCATTTACATCCATTCACAATCATGTCCACGTGTATGAAATGTAATCATAATAGACTCAACAATACCAGCATCCCAATTATCATGATCTACAAGAAATTCAACAAGTAAGACTGTCAACAAGGGTACTTCTAGTGTTCATAGATTAGGCAAGCAAGATGCTTCTAGCATTCCAAGGCATGTGAAGACGGCACTCAGTTTCAAATTCTTTGAGCTCGCTTCTGCAACTCGGCTCGTGTTCAACTCACCTCATGCAGGTCCTCTGCCTTCCTCCCTCTGCCTCCCTGTCTCCCCTTTTCACAAAATTAAGTAGTTGGTCAACAAGCCCATGTCTCGGCTTTACTTGTTTAAAAATAAAAGTGGCTTCACCTCAGAGACCTCCCATCCCAATTGTCATCATATATATGTTAAGAGCATCCAATCCAAAATCAATTAGCTATGAGTGGATAAGCCCCTTGAGCACATAAACCAACCGGTTATAATCATTCGATGTGGGATGCAAACTATCTTTATGCCCTTCCTTTGGGTGGGACCCGGTTTCACACATAGGGCTAACAAACAAATAGACAAACATGCATACCGAGAAATTCACATGAATAAAAAACTTAGTCCACTAACTAGTCAATGTCTAGCTCCAAAACCATGTTGAAGCACGCAACCCAAAACCAATTGGCAATAAGTAGAAGACCCCATAGGCATATAGCCTATCCTTGATCTAACCATTCAATGTGGGATACAAGCTTTTATACAACCCTCCCTCACGCATGGTGCTAATACACAAACTGGCAAACATGCATCCGGGAAATTCAAATAATTAAGAAACTTGTCAACTAATCACCCAAAGCCCAACTCTAATACCATATCAGTGCATCCAACCAAAAATCAATTTGTTATCCATAAACAGATAAACCAATCTTGGGTGGTCCAAATCATTCGATGTGCTATTTACTCTACCAACCATTGATGGGCAAGTATATAGTGTACACGGTACACCTACTTTTAGGAACATCATGACTTGAAGTATATTCTGTAATCCAGGAATCAAAGATTGCTCGCCCTTTGAATGTTTCATAATACAAAACTACAATATTAATACTTCAAATAAATTGATAAAAAATTAACACTGCACAAAACAAACCAAGTAACAGGTGTGTTGGTCCTCCAAAACATTCAAAAGGTAAATAAGACATAAAAATAAAACTGGAGTCTCCACACCCATAAAGAACCATAGCAACCACTTCTGAAAAAAATGAACCATAGCAACAATAAGAACTCCATACTCATTCTTAAACAAGCAGAGTCACAAAAACCAAACAACATGATGCAATTTCACCAAAAAAATAAACAATCTGCGATGTTTGTGACCAATTTAGAAATCCACCAAGCATAAAATCTGGCGCAGAGCACGTATGAAAGATCCCTTGGCAAGCACAAGAACTTCCACAGCATATCAAGCGGAGATGTCAGATGATTGAATCAGTTCATAGCCAGCCAATATATTTTGGCTGCTTATTAATAACGAATAGTTGTGCAATATTGATAAGGCTGCTCAGTATGTTAAGTTCAAATTTAGGTACTTCTCTCAATTGACCTCCAATTTTTGAAGTCACGTAATCTTCCAGCGAGCTATGTAAAGACATATGGATTGATTTTAGTCACTCAATATTATTTTCTTTGTGCGGGGCTGAGAAATGGCTCTCGATTATCACCAATCGTTCGGGTACATTTTCTCTCACTTGGGAAAATGATGTGGGTGTGTAGCTAGAACTGTAACATGATCTAGCACTCTGATTTGCGATTGATTTCATTCATTCCATGATTCTGGACTGCATTAGAAGCACCTAAATTTTATAATGAAATTGAAAAATGAAAACTTTACCTATCTAAATCGCAACAGAAGTAGATAGAAGCATTATGCATAGCTCCCACCCAGTGGCTTTCTGTCCCACCCATTCACCTCATCCCAATACATATCAATTGTTTTAGTAGTATGAGTTCACCTTATTGAAATGAAAAGCCATCATTTTGTTAAGGGTATGTGTGGATGGGCTACATGTCTAAGCTATTCAAGCATCACAAACAAGAAGTAAACCAAGCCTTTTCCCATTATTAAACGCACATACCTTTCCAATGTACCGGAAAAAAAAAATTATTAAACACACATGATTGCAAGGCACATTCTTTTCCTCTTCGACCTCCTCTTTTTTTTTTTAACATGCCATACCTTATCTTTTTCTTTTTTCCTCTTTTTTTGACTGATAAAGAAAAAGAAGGGTGCAGTAAGTCTTTAGTTTTCTGGTCTGAAGATGGAAAAATGGGGTAATAGCAATGACTTTGAAGCCCAAAAGCAACTAAAACCCATAGGTTCAGCTATACAAATTTAGAGAGTGATACACCTAAGCCAGTGAACTCATGTGAGGAAGCTAAAGCACTTGTTTTCTTGATGACAATAAAAATTGCTCAACGTGAACGGCGATCCAATGATTTCTTTTCTGATATCAAGGTCTCATTATAACTGCAACTGATTAGTTTTATTTTGCAGTATTCAAAATTAGGGATTATGAACATCAAACATTATCATATGAGTAAAGTAAATATTAGCAATAAAATTCAGACCCATTACAGAAGACAATATAATGGATGCATAACCAGATACAAGAAAATGATATACAGAAGGGGTAGATGATGTCACATGCATAAAAAAACCTTCAACATCATAACAGCGAATGTGAAGGTGGAGAGAGAGAAGACCCGACAGGCTGGATCTCATGAGCTTGATGAGCAGTAGATCAGTTATAAACCCAAAACGTAGACATATATAATTTTAAAAAAGTTTCCTCTTGCTGTAAAGTTAAAAAAAAAAAACCCAAAAAATACTTTGGAAGGACTCTTTGAGAGGGGGGTAGAGGGAGGAGAGACTCAAATGAGTCACCAAATATTATACTGGATAAGGGATAGAAACAGAAATGTGCTTTACTTACAGGGATAGAAACAGAAATGTATTTTACTTACAGTTAACTCCGGGAAAAGAATATCATACTGAGGGCACACACCCAAATTCTTCCGAATTTCATCCTGCAGAAATCAACAAAATAATCACAAAAATGAAATGATATCTGACTCTACAAAATACAGGGCATGCGTCCGTAAAATAAACAAATAGGAGATTGGCTATCAAGTGATTCAAACAAGTAAGGTCATACACTAAAATTAGTGTATGTCCTCTGCTATAGATAGTAGCTAATATCAAAAGTGTACTTGAAGCAATGCAAAAATCCATGTTGAACATCTCAACTCCCCCAATCTGACATGAGGCCCAACAAGTAAAGCATCTAACCGAAGGTGAACCCAAACTGAGCGAAGGAAACTCCTATCCAGAAGAGGTATCAAAAAGACCAGTTAGTTTCTCACTTTGTCAAAAAAGGTCGTAGAGAACTTGCAAGTGAAATTGCAGAATGGCAACACTTATTAGGCAATAGATCAATTCATTCTTCTTGACAGCAGGCTCAAAAAGCAGCTCTAACCCTAAATCCAAGGCCAAATTGAGATACAGTGTTACATCTGTAAAGAATCTAGACAGTTCATGGGAAATGCCTGACTGTCAAATGACTTCTGTGGATAAAGAAGATTTATCGCATCAGCTACTGCTGAACAAAAAGTGAAGGTTGTACAAAAACACAATGAAGAAAGAAGAAGAAAAATTATATTTTATGCTTTATTCCTAGCTTAAGGTATTTTAGGACCTTGGGTCCATATATATAAGTTGGGGTTGAGTTATGTAACCTAACACACTACTCTCTTCTAGTAATTTTCTCTTCTCCTCTCATTCTTATCCTCTTCATCTCTAAAAATCATAATGACTTCGCGATCCAAGTTGGTGTCAGAGCGTCAAACATGATCAACAGTCCGAATTCATCAAAAACCCTCTCACGTAGTCAATATATCATCAAACATGTCAGAAAATTTCGAAAACACCATGAGCAAATTCAACTGGACCTTCTTAGAACTATGGTTATCTTTTGGAATAACTTGAAGCCATTTGACCGGTCATTCAAATTTTTGAAGATTTTTTGGGTTTACTGTGCCGAACTTGAGATTTGTGTTTTTTGCACAATATGTTGGTTGTTGTTGGGTCGAACCTTCCTGGTGAGTTGTGACTAGGGATAATCTGGAATGCCCATACAGTTTTGTTGCATTTAGATAGGATTTGTTAAGTTTTTGGCCAAAATTAAGGATCGGCTTTATTATTCTTCACTGTTGGCACTGTTACGACATGTGTTTTGCTTCTGCAGTTGTCTAGAAGGNGGAGGAGAGACTCAAATGAGTCACCAAATATTATACTGGATAAGGGATAGAAACAGAAATGTGCTTTACTTACAGGGATAGAAACAGAAATGTATTTTACTTACAGTTAACTCCGGGAAAAGAATATCATACTGAGGGCACACACCCAAATTCTTCCGAATTTCATCCTGCAGAAATCAACAAAATAATCACAAAAATGAAATGATATCTGACTCTACAAAATACAGGGCATGCGTCCGTAAAATAAACAAATAGGAGATTGGCTATCAAGTGATTCAAACAAGTAAGGTCATACACTAAAATTAGTGTATGTCCTCTGCTATAGATAGTAGCTAATATCAAAAGTGTACTTGAAGCAATGCAAAAATCCATGTTGAACATCTCAACTCCCCCAATCTGACATGAGGCCCAACAAGTAAAGCATCTAACCGAAGGTGAACCCAAACTGAGCGAAGGAAACTCCTATCCAGAAGAGGTATCAAAAAGACCAGTTAGTTTCTCACTTTGTCAAAAAAGGTCGTAGAGAACTTGCAAGTGAAATTGCAGAATGGCAACACTTATTAGGCAATAGATCAATTCATTCTTCTTGACAGCAGGCTCAAAAAGCAGCTCTAACCCTAAATCCAAGGCCAAATTGAGATACAGTGTTACATCTGTAAAGAATCTAGACAGTTCATGGGAAATGCCTGACTGTCAAATGACTTCTGTGGATAAAGAAGATTTATCGCATCAGCTACTGCTGAACAAAAAGTGAAGGTTGTACAAAAACACAATGAAGAAAGAAGAAGAAAAATTATATTTTATGCTTTATTCCTAGCTTAAGGTATTTTAGGACCTTGGGTCCATATATATAAGTTGGGGTTGAGTTATGTAACCTAACACACTACTCTCTTCTAGTAATTTTCTCTTCTCCTCTCATTCTTATCCTCTTCATCTCTAAAAATCATAATGACTTCGCGATCCAAGTTGGTGTCAGAGCGTCAAACATGATCAACAGTCCGAATTCATCAAAAACCCTCTCACGTAGTCAATATATCATCAAACATGTCAGAAAATTTCGAAAACACCATGAGCAAATTCAACTGGACCTTCTTAGAACTATGGTTATCTTTTGGAATAACTTGAAGCCATTTGACCGGTCATTCAAATTTTTGAAGATTTTTTGGGTTTACTGTGCCGAACTTGAGATTTGTGTTTTTTGCACAATATGTTGGTTGTTGTTGGGTCGAACCTTCCTGGTGAGTTGTGACTAGGGATAATCTGGAATGCCCATACAGTTTTGTTGCATTTAGATAGGATTTGTTAAGTTTTTGGCCAAAATTAAGGATCGGCTTTATTATTCTTCACTGTTGGCACTGTTACGACATGTGTTTTGCTTCTGCAGTTGTCTAGAAGGTATTTGGCTACTGTTGAAGGTATTTTCTCACCGTGACCTATTTCTTTGGCTGTGATTTGCTTTGATTGCTACTATTTTGCTTATTTTGGGCGACTAATGGAGGTATTTGGCTAATTTGCGATTTTGGGTTAGCCACTATGGTTGTTTGATTCTATTGTGCGGACATGTCCGAAGAAGGTGTGATCCCTACCAATACCATTGGAACTTGGAATTACGGAAAGACATGGGTTTAGCCGTTTAGGTGCTCTTGCAAATAACCCCAATCTTTAAATTAGTCCAGAAAGGTTGGATGGCAATAATTTTGGTATGGTCATGGGCTTTTTTCTCTTAATGGTACTAGGAGTAGGGGTAGACTTAAATTAACATTGAATGAAATAATTTGAAAATATATGAAAGTATTTACCTAAATGAGCAAATAGCGCGTGACTGAAATGAATGGCGAAGATGGACTCATATAGCAGACCCTAAATGATTAGGACATAAGGCTTGGTTTGGTTTGCTTTGACTCACCTCCTTTAAATAGGTTCACATAATGGCTAGCAAGCTAACACAAAACAGGAAAAAAAAAGCCAGAGAATTCAAAGTGGTAATGGACTTTTCCCATGCACCATCTAAGGTTCAGCTCTGATACCATGTAGAGATAGCAATGTCCATGGGATGGGCCGGGTAGGGAAAGGACCGCAAAATTTTTTTTGGGCCGGGCTTGGATAGTGTAGGCCAAAGCCCTTTACCCAAATGAGTTCTCGGTCAGGCCAGGCTTCGGGTAGGGGTAAACTACCCACAGGCCAACTCACGAGCATATTGGGCGGGCTTGCTGAACGGGCCTGCTCGCGAGCTTTTTTTATATACAACTTCATTTAAAACTAATGAATATTTTTATAACTTAATATTTGTGTAAATTATATTTTTGAATAAAAAAAGAGTCAAAATGGATAAAAATAAAATAATGAATAATTTTATTTTTGATTAGGGGATGAACTACATCCAATAGAATAAATACATCACAACTAAGTTGACCCCTACTCATTTATCTATCATTTGCATTATTCTATCCTTTAAAACTTGTATGCTTAATACATGGAAAAAAAAATAATACATTATTTATAGTATTTAAATTTTTAAAACTTCAAATTCTAATATTGAGAAACTTATTTCAAAATTTCAAAATTAATAGTCTAAAAATATAACTTTTTTTCAAAGGATGGCTGAGCGGGTTGGGCTTTGCTGGCGGGCTAATGGGCCAAGTAATGAGTTTGGAGGCAAATCCAAACTCTCTTTTTAAGGATATTGGGTTCGGGCTTGGGTGGGTCAATTATCAGGCCTATCGAGTTTCAGGCTTATTTTTTCGAGCCGAATAACAGAACCCGTGGGTAATCCAGGCCATGGACACCCCTATGTAGAAACCACAAACCCTAAGCCAATTCACAATGAGTGAAGAGACCCCTGAAGCCTATAACCCAGTGATGTAGATAGTAATAGGTTTGATACTTGATGAAGATCAAGAAGAACGGAAATGAGAATAGAAAAAGAAAGGGAATAAATGGGCAAGAAGGGGATGAGAAATCAAATGCTTAAGGAGAAATAATATCAATATTATTCAACAAGTCAAGTCTGAATAAAACCCTGCATCCCTTTATATAGGGAAACCAAAATCCAAAATAAAGACTCCTAGCATAACTCTACCACTAGAAAGATAAATACTAACTAATATTCAAATAATAAAATAAATCTCAAAACAATATCCATACTAATTATCCAACTCCAACACGATCCTTACCAACCAGCCTTAGGTTGTTCTAGTCTTTCCAAGAGAGATGCAAAACCTGAAGGAAAATTCTTGACAACTTCCTCACATGAGGCTAACTTCATTGAAAGCATGTCCCTACTTGGAGGATAATCAAGCACAAGGAGTTATATGTCATTAGTTTGATTAGCGATTAAAAGTGTAAATGGCCAACAGATATCTGAATTACTACAAAAACAAGAACTTCAAGATCATTTCGATTTCAGAAAGAAAAAAAAAATCTTATTTTTCTTTACCAGGACGAAATCAGTTGTTAGTAGATCAATAAGTACTTGCGATACTAGGAAGACTTGAAATAAAAAATTTGGAAAAATACCCTAGAGTGTAACTAACAAAGCTATCAGCGTCTTTTAACAACACTTTACTCAGTACTTGGACACCCAAAGAAAGCAACCAAAAGAAATAAGCATGAAAAAAAACCGTGATATATATGGAACAATGCACCACTNAAATACATCACAACTAAGTTGACCCCTACTCATTTATCTATCATTTGCATTATTCTATCCTTTAAAACTTGTATGCTTAATACATGGAAAAAAAAATAATACATTATTTATAGTATTTAAATTTTTAAAACTTCAAATTCTAATATTGAGAAACTTATTTCAAAATTTCAAAATTAATAGTCTAAAAATATAACTTTTTTTCAAAGGATGGCTGAGCGGGTTGGGCTTTGCTGGCGGGCTAATGGGCCAAGTAATGAGTTTGGAGGCAAATCCAAACTCTCTTTTTAAGGATATTGGGTTCGGGCTTGGGTGGGTCAATTATCAGGCCTATCGAGTTTCAGGCTTATTTTTTCGAGCCGAATAACAGAACCCGTGGGTAATCCAGGCCATGGACACCCCTATGTAGAAACCACAAACCCTAAGCCAATTCACAATGAGTGAAGAGACCCCTGAAGCCTATAACCCAGTGATGTAGATAGTAATAGGTTTGATACTTGATGAAGATCAAGAAGAACGGAAATGAGAATAGAAAAAGAAAGGGAATAAATGGGCAAGAAGGGGATGAGAAATCAAATGCTTAAGGAGAAATAATATCAATATTATTCAACAAGTCAAGTCTGAATAAAACCCTGCATCCCTTTATATAGGGAAACCAAAATCCAAAATAAAGACTCCTAGCATAACTCTACCACTAGAAAGATAAATACTAACTAATATTCAAATAATAAAATAAATCTCAAAACAATATCCATACTAATTATCCAACTCCAACACGATCCTTACCAACCAGCCTTAGGTTGTTCTAGTCTTTCCAAGAGAGATGCAAAACCTGAAGGAAAATTCTTGACAACTTCCTCACATGAGGCTAACTTCATTGAAAGCATGTCCCTACTTGGAGGATAATCAAGCACAAGGAGTTATATGTCATTAGTTTGATTAGCGATTAAAAGTGTAAATGGCCAACAGATATCTGAATTACTACAAAAACAAGAACTTCAAGATCATTTCGATTTCAGAAAGAAAAAAAAAATCTTATTTTTCTTTACCAGGACGAAATCAGTTGTTAGTAGATCAATAAGTACTTGCGATACTAGGAAGACTTGAAATAAAAAATTTGGAAAAATACCCTAGAGTGTAACTAACAAAGCTATCAGCGTCTTTTAACAACACTTTACTCAGTACTTGGACACCCAAAGAAAGCAACCAAAAGAAATAAGCATGAAAAAAAACCGTGATATATATGGAACAATGCACCACTCCACTAAAAATGGACTTCTGAAAAATACTACTACCATGTCAGTTAAGATACTCTTTCCAAAAACCAATGCATCCCCTGAAGTAGGAGGCAGAAGGCCAACAAGCATCGATATTGTCGTGCTTTTACCAGCTCCATTGTGTCCTTCAAAATTAAGGAGTAAAATCAAATCCAACAAAACAAAATATGACTATAAATGAAATAAAGATAAAAGAATAAACAAAAAATAACTATCCAAACATAACAAAAGGGGAGAAAGAAATAGCATCCACCTCTAAAAACCCTGTTCTAGATCCTAATGCATGTCATAAATACACAATTGCCCACAATCTATAAGTTTAAGCTTCTCAGAACAGCTGGCTATTAACCAAATAAGACATGTCTTGTAGCCCCTGTCATAATGATAGATACATGAGTTTGGCATATTCCACTCGTGCCAGAGAGTGTGGCACACGTGACATAGCAGCTAATAGACACCCTCTGTCTGCTTAAATGATAGAGGTTAACATCACTATCGAGATCTGTTTATCTCATTTTCGATTATTTCAAACATATACATGCAGCGAAGGAAACAGATCAGTTTCAATGAAGATTGAGAATTTTAAGCAGCTAATTTAAGGATAACAGAAGGTAATTTTCCCATGAGCTTACAACAGATGAAATTTTTGTCAAACTATTGCATAGAATAGAAATGAGTTTCCTTGGCGGACCATATATGTGGAAAAAATGTAATTCTGAACTTTCATTTTAAGCCAATTCATAGAACTAGAAGCGCAATTTAATAGTGAAAGATAAGTAAATTGCTATTATGAGTGAATCCAAAGTTCTAAAAGGAGGAGGGGAAGTAGCTGACATCAGAAGGGACCTAAGCAAAGTAAGAAGTATTCTTTCTACAGTCCCATGTATAACAGGATAAAATATCAATTTTAACTGTCTTATCTTTAGATTTGAACTCACCAGATAAGATACTAAAAAAACTTCGTCTTTCACAATCACTATGAGCCAAAAGATAATTTCCAGTTCACATTCAAAAGTTAGCTGGTTGATGAGAAATTTGACAAAAGGTCATCTAGGCTAAATTCTGAGGATGGAAAAAGAGAATTCTACAGAAGGTTTGATTATAATTTAAATGCTCCTGGTTCTATCTACCATCAACATGGATGCAGCATAAATCAACACAGGTCAAATAAAAAATAGTAGTACATGGTTACAGATATAACACAACAATATGTATCGGTATAGTTAGTGTATTGAATGGGAACAATATCATTTAGATTTATTAGCTATATTTTTATATCAACAATCTCAAAATTGGAAAGATGCAACAATCATCTCTTATTTGTTGCAACATTCATTTTTTGTATCAAAAGTGTCAATTACATAATTTTTGGATATGCATGCAATATAAGATTCCTTCTTAAAAATTTTACACATGCCTGAACAAACTTCAAGGAGTATCACAAAATTTCCATAATTGACAAGGTGTCAACACAGGCGTCACACCTTCTAAGCAATGTCTATGGTTCATAGACTTGGTTTAAGTCAAGAGAAGTTATAAAAGAGAAAGAACCACAGCACACTTTACAGGAGTAAAAGCATTTGTGAGAGAATGGATTCATAAGGACAGGTCTCTATCTTGTGAATGTACCAAATTATTTCAGATACATAGAGTAATTGGATTATCAACAGGTGTTAAACCAGGAGGCCGTGATAAGAATAACAATACATGCACATATATGGCCCTGTTTTTGAGAGGTGATCCATGACATGCAAAGGCAGGTATTAAGCATTTAAATACTAAAGTTACCCACTCTCTAATGGCTTAAGCTTGTACAATAGTTGGTTATTGACATATTCAAACAATACATCATTGTTATAATAGCCATTCTTCTGCTGATATAAGGGGACAGAAATCCCCACACGAACAGGGATATTTGCAAATGGACATGGAATAAATGAAATTAGGCAACTAATCAGCTTGGGCAACAGGATAACTAACAACTTGTTATTGTTGGATCGATGCGCTGACCACTACGCCAAAACCAGCAACTACCCTAGGACTCGAACCCTTGATCTGCTCTGATACCAATTGTTGGATCGATGAGCTGACCACTACGCCAAAACCAGCTGGTTGTAAGTCGCAACATCTATCTTTTCAACCATAGCAGCGCACATGGGTCAGGCTAGTTAAGCCCTCTCCCCGAATCTCAGGGAGAGGCCAACAGTTATTTCATCAACAGACATCATCACTGTTTCTAAACATGCACAAAGTTGGTTCTTTTTCCTCCAGCCCGTCCACTTGCTCTCCCACCTGTTTCTTTGGTTGCATTTTCTTGGGCCAACCATTTAATACACTTGAAATAACCACAAGATTGTATTGAGATAGACTTCCACAAAGAAAGACATGCCTCACTTCCCTTTACCATTTTTATTTAGGCTATTGAGTTCAGTTATTAGACCACTTTTTTTTTTTAACTGACTTGATATATCCTATTGAAACCGCACATGTTCAAGGACAAATCAACCTATTAGGGCACTTAAATATTCGAAATCAACAACAAACAAAGAGGCAATGGGATAGAACAAGGGATTTTAATCAAACAAGGCCAACTACAAGAGTAAGAATCTGACATTACCTAGAAGTGCAAGAATCTGATTTTCATATAATGTGAGCTGTAAATTATTAACAGCACAAATCTTTCCTTTCTTAGCAGTATACACCTTGTGCAGATTCCCAATTTGGATGCATCTGCAAGTCAGATAATAAATGTGAGAACGTTCAGTGAATCTTTAGATAAATGCATACACATATACTGTGATCAAGGAATCTTATTTGGTATATCAACCTGCCATCAAGCTCATTTTGTTTCATATCTAAGCTCGTTGCTTCCAGAGCTGGTTCATGAATATCCTTCTCAGAAAAATTGGCCTTTTCCTTGGAATGCTCACCAATAATATTAACTTCTGAACTGCAAGCTTGATGTTCGGTTCTATTGTTCTTCCTCCAAAAGCACTTGCAAAATAAAAAGTCCCATGGATAACGCACTCCATTCTCCTTATGAAGGACCTGGTAATAAACAAGCTTCTAAAATTGGTGACTTGATAATGTGCAAACTGTCAAATAATCTCCCCTAAAAGATAAAGGTGTTAATGCTACGCTCGGGCAGGAAGCCGCTATCTGGTTTCCAAAACAGCAATCACACCAAAGAAATGAGTGGGATGCTGTGAGACCATAATCCTCAATAGATAAAATACAGAGTAACTTCACTTTTTATGCATTGTTAAGTTTAGACAAATATGCAAGCTCTTAATTTAAAAACAAAAAAGAGAAAATGTAACAATGAGCACAATAAAGCAAAGAAAGAAGTTTAGAAGATGTACACCTTATCTAGATAAAGTCCAATTACACAGTACAACAAAGCGTCAAGCAACATCATCAACAGACAGGCCAAAAAACAAACTCCAGATGATGCCTGTAGGATCATTGTATTGAAAATTTTAGAAACAGAGAATGCCTTCAATTTAATGACTATAAAGGCATACAACAATAAAGAGCGTACCCTCCATATGTTGCTCCAACGGAGTCCAACATGGGCACGTTCGTAATCAGCAAAGTTAATTGACCCTAAAGCAAAAGCCGTGGGTGAAAGCAAAGAAGCAATGACCTTTACAATCCTACAAGCATTTTAATAAAAATAAATTTATATCCATTCCAGAAAACTAAAGTTTTTGAAAGGAAATATTGGCCGAAATCAGTAATAGCACATGAATACTAACATGGAAACAGCCTCATCATTAACAGTATAATAGGGAAAAAAGGCCCCAAGAAAAGAAAGGGTCCCAACAGCCACGGCTGTTTTTGCCCGTGTGAAGAACGTAGAGATCAGAAAGGACAGCATGATTGCACTGAGTCCAAACGAAAAGAAGTACATGAACACTACAGACTTGTCGCTGTACTCAAAAAGAGTACCCAGTGTGCTGACAGTGATTATCGCAGAAGAAACCGCAAACTGCAAAAAAAAAAAATTGACATGAAGATAAACACTGCCAGGAAATTTCTCAATATAAAGTAAGATACACAAAGAGGTCACATAATTGAAGGAACTGCCCCATACGCCAGGAAAAACCCATGACAGAATCATGTAGAAAGTACTATATCTAAGGATTAAAACTTCGTTTTGAAACGGTTGAAACATCCGAAACGTTTCCATTTCCAAGGAGACTGAAACAAATCAATGATAGAATTGAAATTCTAATACTTCGAGGTATTCTATAATGTTACGAGATATTTTGCAATATTTTATTGCATTTGCACAATTATTTTGAAATGTTTCAAGGTATTTCAATGTACTTTGGTATATTTCAACCAATATTTTGGAAAATTAATTCTTAAATTTTTTATTTTTTTCCTTTTATTTTCGAAACGAGTCGAAACGTTTTTGAAACACGTTGAAACGTTTCCGTTTCCTAGGTGACCGATACAATCCATCGAAACGAAAATTTGATCCTTGGCTATATATCCAATACCTCCATGAACCAAACCAAATGTCAAAATCACTAGAATCTAGAAATACTAAACACTACAAAAGGCGTGTGCATAGCAATAACCAATAAATCCATTAGGAAAGACAAAACTGTAACATATACCTGCAAAGCATAAGTAATAAACCAAGAAAGATGGAACATCTCATCTTTCAGACCCATCATATAAAGACCTTCTTTTATCTTCTGCTCCTGAGGAATCAGTATTCAAAGTTGTGCTCAGCAAAGAAACCTTCAAAGCCATTGACAATTCTATCCCACAAACTTGGAAACAAGGAAAAAGTCATCTAAAAGGAGAAGGCAAGTTCACGACTATATAGCATAAATAACAAACAAACAATCATACTCATTGCCAAACCTTCTCAAGCACTGAATAGCTGATCAGACGAGAGATTGGATAGAGAAATCCCAGTAAATACCTGTTTACCACAAACCAGTATCATCCAAAACAGTTTATAAATAAAAAAATTGTGTCAAAACCTAGAAAAATTACTTCTGAACAAATATAACAGAAACTTGACCAAGGCTTCGAAGAAAGAATACAAAAGTTAAAGATACATACAGCACTCCCATGACTTTCTTGATGATGGACTGGAACTCGTCGTCCGTATATTCACGAGTTGGAAAGGGCGCTAGCCNGTAAGATACACAAAGAGGTCACATAATTGAAGGAACTGCCCCATACGCCAGGAAAAACCCATGACAGAATCATGTAGAAAGTACTATATCTAAGGATTAAAACTTCGTTTTGAAACGGTTGAAACATCCGAAACGTTTCCATTTCCAAGGAGACTGAAACAAATCAATGATAGAATTGAAATTCTAATACTTCGAGGTATTCTATAATGTTACGAGATATTTTGCAATATTTTATTGCATTTGCACAATTATTTTGAAATGTTTCAAGGTATTTCAATGTACTTTGGTATATTTCAACCAATATTTTGGAAAATTAATTCTTAAATTTTTTATTTTTTTCCTTTTATTTTCGAAACGAGTCGAAACGTTTTTGAAACACGTTGAAACGTTTCCGTTTCCTAGGTGACCGATACAATCCATCGAAACGAAAATTTGATCCTTGGCTATATATCCAATACCTCCATGAACCAAACCAAATGTCAAAATCACTAGAATCTAGAAATACTAAACACTACAAAAGGCGTGTGCATAGCAATAACCAATAAATCCATTAGGAAAGACAAAACTGTAACATATACCTGCAAAGCATAAGTAATAAACCAAGAAAGATGGAACATCTCATCTTTCAGACCCATCATATAAAGACCTTCTTTTATCTTCTGCTCCTGAGGAATCAGTATTCAAAGTTGTGCTCAGCAAAGAAACCTTCAAAGCCATTGACAATTCTATCCCACAAACTTGGAAACAAGGAAAAAGTCATCTAAAAGGAGAAGGCAAGTTCACGACTATATAGCATAAATAACAAACAAACAATCATACTCATTGCCAAACCTTCTCAAGCACTGAATAGCTGATCAGACGAGAGATTGGATAGAGAAATCCCAGTAAATACCTGTTTACCACAAACCAGTATCATCCAAAACAGTTTATAAATAAAAAAATTGTGTCAAAACCTAGAAAAATTACTTCTGAACAAATATAACAGAAACTTGACCAAGGCTTCGAAGAAAGAATACAAAAGTTAAAGATACATACAGCACTCCCATGACTTTCTTGATGATGGACTGGAACTCGTCGTCCGTATATTCACGAGTTGGAAAGGGCGCTAGCCTTACGTCTGAAGGACTGAATTGGGTCCAGGGTATCTTCAGGGTGGAATGTGGACCAAATGGGTTCCCAGTCGACTCGATCTCTTGAGTAACTAAGTTAGTTGCATTTTGTTGGGAAGCATAGATTATGAATGAATCCATGACTTGTTGGAGCTGAAAAAAAAATTAATGGAAATAAACCCTGGAAACATTTTTTGCAGAAAGTCCAAACTGAGCAGGATAGATTCAAATTACAGTTTGGAAATGACTCCAGCCAAGTTTCAATCCCACTACCATTAACGCAGAATAAAGCTTAACATTTATAATCTGTAACCAAAATTTAATGGTAACCCAAGACTGATGATAACCGTCCCACAGATTTACAACATTAATACCACTTTAGCTAATTGGAAGCTGAAGATCTCCCACGGGGAAGCTAATATCAACAATCACTCTTAACTCTTTCCATTATTTACAGTACACAAGCAGAAGACCCATCTTCACAAATGCTTGCCTCTATTCCACATAGCCCACATAGTGTACAAATGTGTGAAATTTTAAATAAAGAGATTGAAGTGAGAAAAAAAAAAAAGGACGCAGGTACAAAAAATGGTCCAATCCTAAGGCCTATATCCATGAGACACAAAAGCTAAAAGGAGTACATCACGCTATTTTAACTTAAGTCTCTTGAGTCAAACATATTTTTGTAGGGGGTGAAGAAAACAGAAGACAAGGAAAAAATCAATCACTTAATCATGATTGCTGGACAAATTTATGAAATCAACTTGAGTCACACATATTTTTGTAGGGGAAGAAAACATAAGACAAGGAAATTCATGGACAAATTTATGAAATCAACTTGTGAGTCAAATGTAAACAATGAAGAATCAATCATTCCATAAATCATCTGATTGGATTGTGTTGACACATCAATCACGGGATCTTCAAAACACTCCAATGTGGCACGTTGCCACTATAGTGCTACAAATTTGAAGTTCTCGCGTTCTTCTGGTCATCTGAGACAAAACAGAAATACTAATCGTAACTTGTCAGGTTGAAAAAGAAGTGGAAAGTAGTAAGCTTCAAAAAGCTTCAATTGTATTTCACATTTCGACTACACCTTCAGTATACTTAACTCTTCCAGTAAAACAACTTTGCCAAATTATCTGGTACTATACAATTTCCAAACCAACATATGATGGCCATATAGGTTTTTTATTATTTTACTAGGCACAATCTATTCACCGCTGCTATTTTTCTAGAACTTCTTATCCCATTAGGAGTCCGGGACTCCTAACATATCAATACACATCCAAAAAAGGGAGAAAAGCAACTTAGCCTGATTATAGGCAACCATCAACCTGTTGATAACAGTAGGCTACAAATCCTGGGCAAGCACCAACACTGATTACACTGTCGTACTTTTAATTGTTTATCTTTTTTGTGATTTGACAATAATTTTTTGAGCAGTTTTCAAATCTTCAAACACTTCAATTTTTGTGAAGAGACAAGGTTACAAGTAAAAACACTAACAGATGCTATAACAGGGATTTCTGCAACTTTTTTCCAGAAAAAGATGGAGCCTATTTTTCGGATAAAAGAAGACTAATATTGAGAAAGAGAATAGAGAAAAAAGGTAAAATATAGAATACAAACTGTACTCAAAAAGAGAAGAACAAAGTAAAATGTAAAAAAGAATAAAACTGAAAGAGAACCAACTTCCAATCAAGTAAATCTCATAAAGGCACCCCTGCAAAAATCCAAGCAGAGACCACAATTTTAACACAGATGAAGTGTAAAAGATGTCTGTCGGGAGAGGGGCAAGGTGAACTAAAAAGGCAATTATGATTAATGCATTTAAAAATAATGACAGAAAGCATAATGCTTGTAATCAAATATTAGAAATAATCTGCCTCCTAATGAGGTTTGCAGAACAAGGAGCACTTTTATTTTACAAAAAATTAGCAGTCTTACGTCTATTATCACTTAAAACCTTCTAGTATAACAGTGCCCTTAAATAAGTGCCACCCACATGATAGTATGATTCAACCTTCCATAACTAATTTCAAATGTAAAAACCATCAGTTCCACCTCGAGACATTCGCCCATGATTTAAAACACCACATCTAATAAGAAATTGATCGTGCTCTATATGTCAAGGGGCATATTTTGACCCTTTTTGATACGAATTAGTGGAACAGACTTTGACCTAATCTTATGTTCTACACACAAAAGAATCCCTTATGGTCTCTGTTAAAATATAAATATTTAATTTACACTATCTCCAACAGCTTCAACTTTTGGAGTAGATGGTTGTTTAAGAGTCAAGTTGTCCTTCGAATCTCGCCGCCACCCTAATTATTAAAAGAGTTTCTACGTACTAGACCCAAAATCTAGCATGCCCGTTAGGGGGCATATTGAAATATAAATACTTAAGTTTCAATCTCTCCAACAGCTTAAGTTTTTGGAATAGATGGTTGTTTAACAGTCTTCTGGTGTTCATTAGTCGCAATCTTAAACTGCTTCGTGCCAGCTAACAGAATCATGAAAGATATCGCCCCAAAAATAGATTCGCCAAAACGTACGGCCAAAAAAGAAGGGGGAAAGGGGGGAGGGGGGGCACCGCCAGATGCAAAGCATACAAAGCAGGACACAGCTTATGAAGGAGGCATTGATCAAATGACCCCTTCAGCATGGAGGATGGTTTGGAAGCCTGTACTCCACAAGCAAGTCTATGATTAAGAACAGGAGATGGTTGATGAGTTCTAGGATCTTCTTTAACATACAAGTATATGGGCATGGAGGACTCATTAAGCTGGACTCCTGATACAGGAGGATTGCCCCTGTTAGGTCTATTATATTTTATTTTTGGAGTAAGCACTGGTCAGGGTTTAGATGGAAGGGAACTGGGAGAACAAAAGCCCTGCTAAAAGGAGGCGATTTGTACTGACCACATCTCCAGATGGAGAGATTATACAATGGTGCAGGAAAATTCTATATATCAATTGGTGCTACATGCACAAGAGGTTGAGGCGAAAGGTAAAATCATCTATTGTTCCGTTGGGAGTTCACAAAAATGTGTGTTGCTTTAATTGAGATAGCTTGGGTTACATTTATGACAATGGAAGCACGGCTCCACAGTTAGAAGTGGAGCTGCTTCAAGAGGGGTAATAGAAGGAAATGGGATGCAGCTCCAACATGCCTTATGTGGTCTATCTGAGGGATAGAAGGGTAGTTGCAGGGGGTTGAACTTCCCTTAAGCACAAAAAGAAGGAGCTGCGGAAGCAAAAAGCAAGCAACCGGAGCAGAAAAGTAAAATGAATCTTTTGGCAGGAACTGTAATATTGGCAGTCGTGATAATAGCATTATTGACAAAGGATAGGAATCCCTACATCCCGCAAAAAGAACTCACTCCGGGGAGAGTGAGAGGAGTACTCAGAAGGAGGACCATGGACTCTTGCATTCCTTCTTGGTTTGGAATGGCATTAGAGAAATCTGTATAATATATGATTATGCAGCTACATAAAAAAAGTGGGAGGGCCCTTATGTAAACTTAAATTCCTGGTGCTTGGACCGCTTTTATTTTGGCTAAACAAGATGTGTTTGGATATATTCTGCTGTGGAGCTCACATGGGGAGTTTTTGTCTTGAACGTTTTTTGTGCATATTCCCAGGCTCTTTTGGTATATTCCTAGTGTAATGAGTGAGTTGTGCCCCCAATTTTAGCCAGCTTTTAATTGTCTTACTCCTTCAAAGATGATCGACCCTCTTTTCCTTCTAAAGTTTAGGAATAGTATATAATCACTCTTCTCTAGTCTACTTTGTACCGTTATCAAGAACCTAAAGGACAAAATGAGCAACAAAATAAAAAGAGTACTACTAAGGCATTCCCCATATCATTTACCAATGATCTCCCAACCTAAATCTGTAAGAACTGCAATAACTCATTAACTTAAAGAGAAGTAACAAGTATTCATAAACAATATCTATACAAAAGACGAAGAAGATGGAGAGCTATGAAATCATACAGTCAGAAAACCACTGAAGCCGTACTGCAGAATTGGTATAATATTAACGCCTAGTTCCAAGTCATTCACAAAAGGACCATTCAAGTCCATGATACTCTTAACATCAGGAAATCCAGAGAAAGCCCACGTGTGATTGAGGCGTATGCTATAATCAAATAACTGAGGACCTTGATCATGAAATACTATTGCTCCTTTGATTTTCAGATTCGTACAATTCCTATATCAAGAGGAAAAATATCAGTTAAAGTCTTCAGCTGGTGCCTTGAAACATTAACATAACCTATAAAGATTCATTTGACTCCAATCAAGCAGGAGGTAAAAAACCCAAAATATTTAATTGAAAATTTCATAAGCCATGTGGAAATGATACAAAGAAACCTTTGCCACTTGTACAAAATCAAAACATACGTGACAATTTCACAATTCATAGAAACATGAATTTCCAATTCTATCATAAACACTTTTTCTTCTTCGTTTTGGGTGGGTTTGATAAGGGGGAAGAGTGAAGAAGAAGAATATTGAAAGAGAGTAGTGTGGTAGGTTACACAACTACACCCCAACTTATATATATAAGCACAAAGTACAAAAATACCCTCAAGCTAAAGATAAAGCATAACTAACAGTCCCCCTCAAGTTGGTGCATAATAGATATCTCTCATGCCCAATTTGCAAACAATATGATGAAAAATCTTGCTACTAAGTCCCTTGATAAAAACATCAGTCAATTGGTTCTCCAATTTCACAAAAGGTATGCAAATCAAACCCTTGTTTAACTTTTGTTTGATAAAGTATCCGTCAATGTCAACATGTTTAATTCTATCATATTGAACTGGATTATGAGCAATATTAATAAAAGCCTTATTATTATAGTACAGTCTCATAGGCCCATTTTTCATAAATTCTGAGCTCTCCCAGTAAGGTTTTAAGCAAAATAAAGCTCACAAATTCCATGAACCATTGCCCTATATTTAGCCTCAGCACTAGACATAACTACCACATTTTTTTTTTTTTTAGAAAAACTACAGTAGCCCAATGTAGATCGTCTGCCACACACTGAACCTGCCCAATCTACATCAATAAATGTTTCTAACTTCAAGTGACCACATTTGAAAAAAAAAATCCCTTTTCCTAGAGCTAAATTGAGAATTTGAGATACCACAAAATACGTTAAGGAGTTAAGAGGATCATGCATGAACTGACTAACAATAAACAACACCGGCTGCATGAGCAATATCTGGATGAGTATAAGAGAAATATATCGATCTCCCAATGAACTCTAATACCTCTCCTTATCAACTACATCATCAACTCTACTACTCAATTAATGATTGACCTTAATAGGAGAATCAGTAGGTCTACATCCCAACATGCCTATTTCTTCAAGAAAGTCAATAAAATACTCTATCTGGGAGATAAAAGTGCTTTTATCTGATCTAGCAACCTCAATCTCAAGAAAGTATCTCAATAGACCCAAGTCTTTGATTTCATACTCCTTAGCCAACTAGACTTTAAGTTTGGCGGCTATCTACACAATCAAACCAGTTATCTTTTCATCATCTTTGTCTGCTGAATATAGTATAATCAGCATGGCTTTGTTTATATCCAAATTTAAGCATAGCTTTGAGAAACCTATCAGAGGGAGACTATTTTAACCCATAAAAAGACTTCTTCAACTTACATATTTTTCCTTCGTTTAATGGGATGAAAAACCTAATGGAATTTTCATATACACATCTTCTTCCAAGTCTAAATGAAGAAGAGCATTCTTCACGTCCAACTGCTGCAACTCCAACTTAGATTAGCTGCACATGAAAGAAGAGCACGTATAGAGTTCACCTTTGTCGCAGGACAAAAGTCTCCTGATAATCAATGTCATATATCTGGGCGAAGCCCTTAGCAACCAACCTTGCTTTGAACCTGTCGGTTGTCCCATAGGCTTTGATGTTCGACAATTAACACTCATTTGCACCCTATTGTCATTGCTCCATCAAAAAGACAAAACTAGCTCCCATGGGTCGTCCTCTCTCAAGGCTTTCATTTCCTCTACCATAACTTCTCTCCATTTAGGATCAGTGAGAACTTATTTCCAACCATGAGGAATAAATGCAGAAAATAAGGAGGAAATAAAAACACGATACGATGGAGATAAAGAATCATAAGATACAAAGTTAGAGATAGGGTGTCAAGTACAAGTTCTAACACTCTTTATGACAGCAATAGGAAGCTCAGAATCATCAACAATAGGATTATCAACCGGAGTACCATCTGAAAGTTTATTACCTAATAAATCACTAGAAAGTGTCTGAACTAGAGTAATAGTCTGTCCTTGTACCATATGACGCCGCGAATAAGTCTTCAAATTATCCTTGTGTGGGCAAATACCAGATGGACCATTAGTATTACCTCCTTTTTCCTCAATAAGTTTTGTTCCTTTTACCAATATTCTACTGAACAGGCAATTGAAGAAAAAGTTTCTGGCATACCATCTCTTCCACAATGGTAATATTCTCCCCCATAAGAGATGGTTGAAAACTAGAAAAAAAATACCCTAGTTTCATGGAAGATAACATCCATGCTAACAAACACCTTTTGAGACTGGGGATGATAGCATTTATATCCTTTTTGGGTAGGAAAGTAACCAATAAAAACACATTGCAAGGCCTTGGGGTCAAGTTTCCCCCTAATGCATTTGTAATCATGTATGAAACAAACACACCTAAAGGCTTTAGGAGGAAGGGAAGAAATAGAATAAATTCTAGAAAAACACTCAATAGGTGACTTAAACTGAAGGACTGATGAAGGAAGATTAATAAGACAAGTAGAAGTACGAACAACATCTCCCCAAAAAGAATTAGAAACATTCATGGTAAACATCAACGAACAAGCAACCTCAAGAAGATGACGATTTTTTCACTGTCATTTTATTCAGGAGTACTCACACAAGAAGTTTGATAAAGAATGTTGTTATCATTAAGATAGGAACGAAATTCCCCACCTATGTACTCAGTCTCATTATCACTCTGAAGAATTTTAATTTTAGCATCAAACTTGGTACTCACCATTTTATAAAGAGATCGAAAGCAAGAGAAAACTTCACTCTTAATACGAAGTAAGTAAACTAAAGTAAGATAAGAATAATAATTAAAGCAAGTGACAAACTAATAATAATCAGAAATAGAGACAACACAAGACTGTCCCCGCACATCAGAGTGAATAATGACAAAGGGAGTCGTGCTTTTATTATTAGTACTAGAATAAGATGAACGTTTATGCTTCGTAAATTCACAAGCATCACAAATAAAGATATGCCTACTACACCGCTTCACTAGATTAGGGAAAAGTTTATCCAAGACACCAAATGAAGGATGCCCTAAACGTCTATGTCACTAATGTAAGAGCTAAAGAATCAAAACACCGTCTGCTTTAAGTGCTTGACTAGTAAAATGAGAAGAAACTTCGGCACCTAACAGATATAGACCATCATGTGCTCTACCACCACAATAGTTTTCCCCGATTTCAAATCCTAAAAGATACAATGAGTAGGGTAAAAGGGAATTCGTAATACTGTTAACAGACAATAAATTAGTAGAAAAATTGAAAACATGAAGAACGGATGAAAGAGGTATGGCTGAAGAGCAATTAATTGAACTTTTTCCTGAAATAGTGGATAAAAATTCATCAACTAATCTTACCTTATCCCTACCTAAACATGTAGAATATGAACAGAAAAGACTATACGAACCCGTCATGTGGTTCGTGGCACTAGAGTCGATTATCCATAGAGTGTATGAGGAAGAAACACTAAATGCACAAACAGATATATCTGTTTGAGCACAGTTGGAAGACAAAAATGCATGATTAGATACTCTGGTAGAAGAAGCATGATTTGAGGAAACATCAAACTGAGTCATCACACGTCTAAGAGTTTGCATTTTCTCAAGTGGAAATATTGCCACAAAACTGAGATGGATGCTCTGAAGATTCAGTCATATGTGCATTGGATCGCACAGTACCACCTCGGCCACGTGTAGGTCGTCCAGTCAGCTTTCAACAAAACTTTATAGTATATCTATTCTTCTCACAATAATCACCCTTTAAGGTATCCTTATCATAAATGTCATTCCTGTAAGTGTAAGTTACACTCATGTCAGACATGTCCAAACAGTAAAAACCACTAAGATTGTCCAACCTTTGTAAGTTCCGTTCCACTTAGCTAAAAAAGTAGTTACTTGCATGTCCTCGCAATCTAGTTGGAGAGGTTAACCGTTTTTCTCTTGTTCTTGGCTATTATTTGTGGCAACGGATCCCAACTTTGGCAACCACTCGATAGAATTTATGCCACTCAATTGTTGTGGAGTGAAATTTCCAGAGTATTGCTTGATGAATCTGCCAGCTTGGTTTCTTAGGAGGAACCGAGTAGCCAAACAGTGGCTAAAACAACCCCAGGTGCCAAAAACCAGCAACCCAATAGCCATACAGTGGCTGAAACAGCACCAGAAGCCAAAAACAGTCTTGAACAGGAAGCTGGAACTGACCAGCTTCGGCAGAAGGGAAAAAGAGGCAAAAAGAGGACTGCCGACTCTCAGATCTGATGGAAAATCATCCCAAAATTGATCCAAATGCAACAAAACTCCATGGGTAATGTAGATCGACCCTAGTCGGTGTCCTCTCAGTGAGATCCAACCAAAAAAAAACAGAAAAAAAGGCCTCAAAACCAGAAATTGCAGTTTGGATCTCAAAAATGCCGAAAATATTCAAAAATTCGAAAACTTAATCAGATGGTTTCAAAAAAATCCAAGAAAATCACCATAATCCTAGGCAGACCAAGTCGAATCTCCCATATGAATTGCAAAAATTTCTAACGAGGTACGACACTGACATTAGCATGTGAGTCGCTGACGTCAACGTGAGTAGCGGACGTCAACCTGAGTCGCTGATGTCACTATGATTATTTGTGATAATTTCCGAAGATGTTCGACAACTTTAGGGCTTCAGATATAAATCAATGCTCAAATACCAAGTTAGATTATCAAGTCGCGAGGGTTTAAAAAAAAGAGGAAGAGAGAAGAAGAAGACGAAGAAAAATATCGGAAGAGTGTAGTGTATTAGGTTACACAACTACACCCCAACTCATATATATATAAGTAAAAAGTACAAGAATACCCTCAAGCTAAAGATAATGCATAACTAACAATAAATATCACTTTTATATAGCTTCAGACAAGAAATCAAGGCTAAAAACTGCATATTGACATATACATAGGTATTCAAGTAAGCATAAGCAAACTTAACTCATCCAATTCTAAAAACACAAACGAGAGAGAGAGTGAATGAGAGAGAAGAACAATTGTAATTACTGAACTAATTACTAGCAACAAATTTCATCATAAAACACCAAATAACGCCAACTAAAAGAATGGCTTCTCCTATCCATTATGGCAAGCCCACGCACACCTACACACACAAACTGAAATATAGCGTGTCACTCACCAATTCCATAGAGAGTGGTTCCCTAGATCATTGCAACAGGAAGTGTGTGGCAGTAAAAACATTTAAAACACGAAACATTACACAATTTTATTCAAAAATGTTTAAGGCTTCCACTTAAAGTCGAATATCAACCACTCTACATTTAAATTCAAACAAAACAAAAGGACACTAACATTCTCTATCCTTATGCCAAAAATTTAATCTTCTTTCCTTATAGTAGCTCTGTACAAATATTTTGGCAAATCGATGTAACAATACTTTCAACATATCACCACCTTACAAGTACTGCAGCACAAAATAATAAGAGAAATATAACTCACTTGACTTGATCGCAAGATCCATAAAGATCTGAGCGTATGTAGGTCTCAAGCTCGGATTCATCTTTGTAAACTCTCGTAACCAACTGCATATATGAGAACTATAATCATTACTTATCCCCCAAAAATACAAACATAAAACATAATAAACCAAACTAAAGACTTGAGTCAATTATTTAGGATTGGTTACATGAATCATTTTTTGGCATTCTGCTATGCCAATTCAAGAGCTATGTTGTGTTTGAATTACAAGCAATCATATTTTTCTTTAGCACCTCTCTCCCTATTAATAGTGATCATGTCAATGCACTCACCTCAACTAAGCCGTCTCCCAACTATTTTAAGGTTGGCTATGTAATCACATTTGTCATTGTGTTCTATCAAAGGACATATTTTCTATGAAATTGCAAGCTATCAAATCATTTTTTAGCATCTCACTTGAAGTTAATTATGACCATGTCGCTCTTCCAAAAAAATATGAAAATCATGGAATCACTGCAACTAAGATAAGTTATTTCAATTACCCACCCACCCCCCAACCCCCCCCCCCCTCTCCTTTC